GAATTAACTGAAAATGAGAAACAAGTGAAAAGCTGCTTTAAAATAATTTCAAATAATGTATACACTTAAATATACTTCCTCCATTAGGTGAACTTTAATTTTGACTCCCACTCCTAAGGGCAGGGCAGAATTAGTGATTTACTTCTAAAGAATAGAATAGGTGAAAGGAAGATAGTTACTGTACACTAGAGAATCTAGACAATCACCACCTGAACCCTGTGATGAGGGTCAACATCTCCAGTGACAATGATGTCATGTGAGTTTCACATACCCCTAAATATGATGTGACAACAAGGGGACTTCAATTCTGTGATATTCTTTCCCAGGACTTCAATTCTGTGATATTCTTTCCCAGAACCCAAAATCATAGTCCAATCAGGACCAAAAACAACAGACTGTGTCTGCACTCCTCAACACTGTCAGGGTCATGAAAACAGTCTGGCAGTCCTCAACAGAGAGTTGCCATACGACTCAGCAATTTCACTCCTAAGCACACAGCCAGGACAAATGACAACATATGTCTACATAAAAACTAGTATACTTATGCACATGATATTATTATTCATTAGAGCCAAAAGTAGAAACAACACAAACGTCCACCAATTAATGAATGATTAAATGAAAGGTGGAATATTTGGTGACAAAGGAAATGAAGTACTGATACATGCTGCAATGTGGTTGAAACTTGAAAATGCTAAGCCAAGTGAAAGCAGCTGAATATGCAAAGACCATAAATTGTATGATTCTATTTATATGAAGAGTGCAGAGAGGCCATCAATATACTATATCCACAAAATCCCCCCTTTCTATCCTGCCTTACACAAAGTTCTGTCTCATGGGTTTGAGTCAAAGCCACTCCCTCCCACAATCCTGCTGAGAAATGCTCGAGCTACAGATCAAGTTTTGACAAAAGATGGCACCAATGAACCATCATCATCAAACTTCTCTCCTAAGAAGTGTCTACAAAGAGCACAAAAATTACAATGATCTGCAAACACCCAGGCTTTGTTCCTAAATGGACTAAGACTAATTCTAATTCTGTCTAGGGAGAAAAAAAAAAAAAAAGGACACCTGGGTGGTTCTGTCAGTTAAGCGTCTGCCTTTGGCTCAGGTCATGATCCCAGGGTCCTGGGATCAAGTCCCACATCAGGCTCCTTGCTCAGTGGAGAGTCTGCTTCTCCCTCTGCCTGCGTTTTCTCTCTCTCTCTCTGACAAATTAATAAATAAAATCTTTAAAAATTTTTTTTAAAAAAACCTGGTATGTGTAATAGAAGATTGTGGAAAAATATATTCTGGGACCTGCAGTAGTTGAAACACCAGGTGGCAGTGGTGCAGCTTGGCAATTGGCAGGTGTGTGACTGTTGATGCAGAGCAGAAAAGGAGGGAGGGGGTGACTGAAAGATGCTGGGGCATCAGAGCGGGATCTGGCAGCTTTGTCCTGTTTCACAGACAGGGGACGACAGACAGTAGGTGGTAAAAGGTCTGAGCAGCCTGCACAACATATGTAGGCAACATATAATTGGGTCTTGTTTTGTTTTGTTTTGTTTTAAGATTTTATTTATTTTTTGACAGAGAGAGAGAGAGAGACAGCGAGAGAGGGAACACAAGCAGGGGGAGTGGGAGAGGGAGAAGCAGGCTTCCCATCGAGCAGAGAGCCTGATGCGAGGCTGGAGCCCAGGACCCTGAGATCATGACCTGAGCAGAAGGCAGATGCTTAACGACTGAGCCACCCAGGCGTCCGGGGTCTTGTTTTTTTAACTACTCTGATATCTCTGTCTTTTAATTACTGTATTTAGACCATTGATATTGAAATAATTATTGATATAGTGGGATTAATATGTAACCGTATCTGTTGCTGTTTTCTCCTTATTGCCTTTGTTCTGTTTTTTTCCTCCACTCTTTTTCTGTGATTGTGGTTTTTAAAATTTTTTTTTTAAGATTTTATTTATTTGCGAGAGAGACAATGAGAGACAGAGAGCATGAGAGGGAGGAGGGTCAGAGGGAGAAGCAGACTCCCTGCTGAGCAGGGAGCCTGATGTGGGACTCGATCCCGGGACTCC